GTATACGAAAACATTTTCATTACAAAAAATCCAAAAAAATTAGTGATCAATCTGTTGGCCTGAGCAGTAGAAAAAATTCAGTAGGCAAAGGTATAAAATATCTAAGCATATCCTATTGCCAGATTTGAAAAATAGGTACCAAGCATCTAATGACTACGAAAAGCTAGGTGAAAGTATAGGTAAGGAAAGATAGTTACAATCGGAGCATACAAAGACCAAACTCATGCTTGGCCTCGATTTACTAAACCCCCTCCTGGTCGGCAAGCTTTGATGCACTCGATAACTTTAACAGCACAATCAGGAATCCTGGTACCAGGGCCAAAGATTGCAGCAGCTCCGTGCTCCAAGAGGAAAGGATAATCCTGAGGGGGGATAACTCCGCCAACCACGACAACAATGTCCCTATATAAGATGGTAAAAATTATAAATGAGCGCCAATCCGGCAGAAAACTACAATAGACGATTAATAAAAATTAATGTAAGAACTCAATGCCCTAGATAATTTTATGATAATCGAATTGGTTGTAAGCGGAAAAGTTAATTTGGAGGTCTATAACTGATCCAATTCCATTCGAGAATTTAATACCATGGGAACTGTCCTGAGACTAGGAGTACAAAGCTAATAGTTGTAATATAGGCTGATGCACAGGAGGATGAGCAATATTCGCAAGTGATCTTCGTGCAATGTTTGTTAGGAGATAGCTGAAAATTTGATGTGGCGAAGCTAACCGTTGTTAAGAGGGACATTTATTTGAAATAAACGACCAAATAATAAGTTTTGTAAATAATTGTCCTTATGAGTTATAAAAATAGATAACAAGCATATGCATCGCTATCAAGGTACTGAGATGTGAATAAATGATGAGGATATATGAATAATCTGAGGGAAAATGGATTAGAAATGCAGCTTTAATACGACCTAGCTATTATCGAAAAGTCAAAAAGAGGTTCAATCAAGCATAACTCACCAGGCCCAATTTGTAAAAGAAATCGGCCTCTAAATGCAATGTGGTGAGTGATTTACAAGCTTAAATTCAAGAATGGACTAAAATCTCCTAACAAAGTAAGGTAAATGCTAAGTTAAGAAAAAATTGAGAAGCAAACAATTTACCAAAATACAATCTATCCAGTATCGATTACTGTGATTTAATTTAAAACCTACCCTCTACCACGAGCTTTCAATTCTTTGACAAGTTCTGGCACCAAGGTCTTATGACCTGCGGCTAAACTGCTTACACCGACAACATGGACATCAGCGTCAACCGCTTGCTGTGCAGCTTCTGAGGCAGTCTGAAAGAAATAAGATAAATAGTGAGTATTAAAAAGTGAGTTTAGAGGCAACCAAATAAAGCTCAAAGTAATGTAAAGATGGTTAGGGTAATCACAAACAAGGCAATTTCTGGTGAGTTGCCCACACTCAATTTAAGCGAGCAAGCCAATTTAGATTACGTTATCACACCTAATTTAAATTTCTTCCATATGAAGAAAAGTAGGCTTTCTTAACAAGTAAAAATCGTGAAAAAGATAAATTTAGTGATGGAAAACGAACACGAGGGTGAGTTGTAGGATCACATTTGTCATCAACTATAGCAAATAAATAAATGACACAATGAAAGTCGCCAAATTCAAGAATCATTCTGGTTTTCAAATCATTCATTAGGCATATGAATAATTTATTTGCCGTTTGGTAACACGATAAGTGGGTCCAGAAAATTTTCTTTGGCTAACTTATTTAATAGATGAGATGGAAAAAATCCAACATGGAATTAGACAAATACGGTAATTCAGAATGTTTAATTGATCTATTAGATAGATGTAACCAACATGGGCAAGGATATGCATAAGAAAAAAAGGAAAATGTGAGTTTCATTTTCAAATCATACTCATGGGGTAAAAAGAATAATTAATAAAATCCATGACAAAAATAAGTCTGTAAGTTGCAGATGTTAATAAATAGAGCAAACAGATCACATAATTAAGACAAATCTT